CAAAGCACGAAGCTCATCTAACGAAGGAATACTGTGGAACCGCTCTTTTAGCCTCTTATCCTGTAAGTACATTATAGAATTGGTTTAGGCTCTAGTTTGTAGAACCAAGTTACACGACAAAAATTATGATCATAAATAACACCAGTTGCCAAAAACTGCAGTAAACATCAATACAAAAACTTAAGTATGAGATCAACAAAATTATCAGCGAAAAGTACTATATTTAATTAATGAACAGATAAACAGGGAAAACATGAAGCAAGATCCATAAGAAACAAAGCTCACATAGTAAAAATTATTATTCTGGACTGAAAAATTTAAATGGGAAAAATGCCATACCGGAATAACATAATAGAAACCATCTGGAATTGGTTCACAAAGCATTCCAGTACGCCAGAGAATTTGAGATGCTCTCTGAGGCGACAACAACACATCTTGGTCAGAATTGATGATCTCTTCCCTTTCACTCACAATGTCTTCCCGAGGACCCAAAGAAACAGATCCAAATTTCTCCACAAAATCAGAAGACCACCAGGAAGCATTGGAAGTCCCTTGCTCTGATGGTGCAACATCGTCTCGCTGATCCTCCATGCCTTTAAATGTTTTGAATATAAAACCATTTCACCGAGTAGTTTCTACCCCCATACAAGGTCAAATCCGAGCTTACATAACTCTCACTCAACAAAACCACTGATAAAACCCTTGGCTTTCCCCCAATAACTTCAAGCTGGAGGACATAATACCCATGAAAAAGGAGCGTCAAATTGTTTGGTCATAAGAACTGATGGGAACAAAAAAAACATAAAAAGAGGACATTAATAAAGTCATGTTTACACAAGGAAACAGAGCAGAAATCAGAGACCCCAGAAAACTAAACAAGACACACAAGACACACAAATATTAAAAAGTTAAATCGTCATCGAAATCATAATATCCATCCCTCTCTATATAAACAGCAATAACCCCGAGAATGTAGAAATATACCGATTTCGCAATAGCCATAACAGCATTATAAGATAATTACACACCTCGAGAACGATTAACCACTGAATAACAAACGGCCTAATCCACAGATACAATGTATAAATTAATTTGAAAAACTCAACACAATAACTGTTCGATAAATTGTAATTAAATGCTCGCTATATATATTCAAACCGACAGGTTATTTATAAACAAAACTGACAAGAAATTCAAATAACGACGAAGAATCAAACAGAAAACGCTTAATCCTTCTTAAGTAGGGCGTTAAAAAAAATTCAAAAAAACGAAACTTCAAATACCTCATCAGAAACAACGAGAAGAAACCCAGAAACAAAACGGGAATACGAAATTGAGTGAGTAATCAGACAATCACAAAAGAAAAGAGTATGAAAGTGAGTGAGGAGCATATACAAAAGCTAACATTGCAATAAAAGAACATTCCTACATTACCTAGATAAAGAAAGCAAAAGAAAAGTGGATGAAGTAAGGGATTGGGATTACCAGGAGCGGATCGGAACATTTGAATCTTGATCCCGTCAGTGAGAGAATGAACATGAACATAAGAGCATCGGGAAGCCAAAGATTGGTCGAGAGAAATGGGAAGGATAGAGTGAGAGGAAAGAAAAGAAGAGAGAGAGAAAGGGAAGAAGGGATTTGATTGATATAATTGATGGACGAAGAAAGCGATGGAGTCTGTTTCTGTTTCTCTCTCTAGAGAGAGATTCAGAGAGTTACAGAGGAGGGAGAAAGAGAGAGAATTGGGCGATGGTGAATCACGTGCTATGGAAATAGAAGACCGGAGGAAGGGTTCGCATTCGGGTCGGGTTCGCGTTCGGGTCGGGCTCGGGATCTGACTCTCTCCGGCCCGCCTCTCTCCGACAGCCAGCTGGCCTAGCGGGTGGCTTACCAACATCCACACCTTCCTCCGCGTGAACCCTTTTAATTCCCCTTTTTTTTCCCTTTTTATTCAATTTTCAATTAATTTTTTCGTCCTATATTTTTTAACTAAATTTATAAAAAAATAAACCCATTTTTTTAAATTAATTAATTATCAACACAGATCTATCCCGACCATTATCTCATTGTAACACACCGCTAGCAAATATTATTTTTTGCGACTAAGTTAACATTTTTTTTTTAATATAATATAATTTTACGAATATTAGATTTTTTTTAAGTGATGCTAGAAATAATATTAAATTTGTAATTTAATATTTTAAAATAAAATTAATTTAATACATTGTTTTAAATTAAACGGACGGTCTTGATTACGTCAAAGGGGTTCTACTTCCAATGCAGCCCCTTCTTCATATCACACGTGGGCTATTTTTTAATTTCCCGTTTTATTAATTTAATATATTCGAAGATGTACTATTAATATTAACTATTGTTTGGGTTAAGAATACTTAAATATCTTAATTGGATGCTTAATCATTACTAATTATATATTATTTTTTTTCTTTTCTAAGGAATTCCATTTTTATCAACCAAATAACCATTTTTAAATGTCGTATTTGTTCTGATTCAAGCCAACAATAAATTAAATATATAATTTTTTTTAATTTTTTTTTACCGAAAATTAGTTTCTTGTTGTATAATAAACTTAGATATTAATTGAAACGATGTCGTGTCCAAAATGGAAGAGAAGCGACCTCGGTAGTCGTGTGACCGAGTGGAGGCTTATAAGATTACCCAACCAAATCTATAGTAGTAGGAACAAAAACCTCGATATTCCTCCGTTGATCCATTGTACGAACTTAATGGCAATGCATAGATGAAAGAATATAAGTAATAGAACTCCCTCTCATAACAATGTATGTAGCCTGAATGTGCTCGATTCGACGTTGATTCAAGTATCGAAATGTGTTGGCAAAGTCGCTATATGTGTCCAAATAAATTAAGATTACAATAATAAATTTTATAGTTCGATAATACGGTAAAAAAAAATTAAGTTTTAACATTTTAGTCGATATTTCAATAGTTTATGTGTTAAGGATATTTAATAATAAATTATAGTTTACTCTATGTATCATATTTGATATTTTATTATAAGATATTTGTCTTCTTACCGTAGGTATCTTTCACACCATTTAGGTGTGGTAGATTAAGCAAACATTCTCATTATGTAACAACCTATGTTCAAGATTCTGAATTCAAATTCAGTAGCCGATGACTCCAACATTTCACTGCATCCCTACGACATGGTCACGTTACTTACCCATCGCTTCTAAGAGTGAAGACTATCCTTACGTACCAACATAAAATCATTCCAGCATATTTTGTCTTCACTCACATGCATATTATGATACAAGACGTCGCCGAACATAAAACTGCTCAAGGTAGAGTTTATTTTCGATGACTCAATTAAGAATTTCATAATAATTTCAAAAGTCAAGACACAGAAAAAGCGACTTTGATGGTATTTGAAGAAATGAATCTTTCTCGAAGGCACGTGGAGATTACTAGCTTCGTGGATTTCATGTCGCTTATTTAATCATCATTATTATTCATATAATTTCCATAATTTTTTGTTATAATTAAGTCCCAAATTAATACTCCATTATTTATTTTTGTTGCTAAACCATGTGATTGTAATGATGACATTTTTATTATTATTATTATTATTATTTTGGGCACTTTAATCATTTCGAGTAATTCCATGCAAATTTCAAAATTCGAAATGACTCGAATCACGACTTTTAGACATCCCTTTTTATCCTTTTTATTATGAATTTTTAAAAAATGGTAAAAAAATATTTACAATTTTTTTAATATTTACTTTGTCCCTGAATTAAAAAGTTAAAAAATCTAAGAAAAATATTTATTTTAAGAATTATTTTAAAAAGTTAATTTGAGGTCTTATTATATTAGGAAAAAGTAGTTATTATTGTTGTTTTTTATTCTATTATGTTATAACACAATCTTCTTCTAAGATATGCATTTAACATTTTAAAATAAAAATAAATAAATCATCCATTTAATTTAAAGAAGATGTGGGAGGGCAAATATGAGATTTCACATTAAAAAAAAATCCAAAAAGGCAATAAATGGATCATAATTCATAAAGTGAAATTAGGTTGCCATTACATGCAATAATGAGGTGTAAAGTGAGTTCCACTTTGTGTTTTAAGTTTTCTAATTTAATTTAACCTAAATTAATAATAAGAAAAAAAATTATTTGAATATAAAATACCATTAAATTTTTAAAATTTTGTAAAAAGTACTCTTTATTTAAAAACTATTAATTTTTTATGAATTTCGTTAATGCTTTTTTTATTTTTAAGTTTTATAAAATTCAAGGGTATTTTTTTATTCATTGAAGAAGCTAAAATATAGAATTTTTCCTCCCTAAAATTTTTAAATTATAAATTTAATCCATAAAATTTAGAATTTTGAGACATAAAATTTAAATATACATTTAATAATCCATGGGACTAAATTATTATATATATATATATATATATATAAATAAAAGTATAATAATTTTTGTTAAAAGTAGAAGATAATATTGTAATATTAAAATTTCAATATTTAAAAATATTGTTGACTTTAAAATATTATTAAATTTATTACGAGGTCGAAATTATATTAAAAAATAAAAATTATCATTGTATTTAAAATAAATATAGAATTTCGTTATATAAATGGACAATATAACATAAATCTCCGTTATAAATGAGACAATTTGGACGAGAATAAAGATTAAAATAGGTGGCGAGTACGAAAAAACTCGTTGAAATTGGGCACGACATCTCTAACTGTATATTTAAAGTGGAGACAAATATAATGGAAATTGTTTTTTCTAAACTTTATATTAATGATTAAATTCAGAATTTGGTAATTTGTACTGACATCCGTTGACGTGGTAGACTTGTCAGACCTACGTGGAGCATAATCTTGATCCCATACGTTTACGTGGCACCGAAGTGAGGAATTAAAAAAATTGAAAATTTCAGATATTGTTGATTTTTTTCTTTCATTTCTTGTAATATTCTGATTTTAAAAAAATAATAATAAATTAAAAGCAAGAAGGAGGAGAGTGACGGGTCTGGCCCTGCATGGAAGGGGCGGCCGTTCTTCAAATCCACAAATACTTCCATTATCTCTACTCTGAAGCGAACCCCCGAAAAGAAAAGGCGGTGTTCTTCCTGTTGCTGTTTTGTTGAGTTCGTCTTTGAAAATTGATCGCAAAGTTGCCTTTTATGCCTTACCCCCTTTTTCATTAAAGCTTGATCGGGGATTGTGTTTGTTTGATTCTTCTGCGCTTTCATGGCGTATAACCTAGTTTATCCTTAATACCTCCGTTTCTCCCTTTCTTTATTCCTTCTTCTTTCATTATATTTCCCTCTTTTCATAATCAACAGCCTTGTTCGTTTCTGGGTCTCTCCTGTTTCACAGGTTTGCTTCTGATTTATGGGTTTTTTGCGTTTTTGTTTCTCTGTTCTTGTTCTGTCTCTTGGTTTGATCGAGATTGTGCTCTCTGTATGAATGAGTTTATGGGGTTTTCTTTCTCTGTTCTTGTTCTGTTTCTTGGTTTGATCGAGATTGTGCTCTCTGTATGAATGAGTTTATGGGTTTTTCTTTCTCTGTTCTTGTTCTGTTTCTTGGTTTGATGTGCTCTCTGTATGAATGAGTTTATGGGTTTTTCTTTCTCTGTTCTTGTTCTGTTTCTTGGTTTGATCGAGATTGTGCTCTCTGTATGAATGAGTTTATGGGTTTTTCTTTCTCTGTTCTTGTTCTGTTTCTTGGTTTGATTGAGATTGTGCTCTCTGTATGAATGAGTTTATGGGTTTTTCTTTCTCTGTTCTTGTTCTGTTTCTTGGTTTGATTGAGATTGTGCTCTCTGTATGAATGAGTTTATGGGTTTTTCTTATGTTGAGTTGTAGCGTTTGATTTTCTTGATTGTGTAGATTTTGAACTTGTTGTGTTTGTTGCTGAGTTGAACTGGATATCAGTTTTGTTTATGTTGATTTCTAATCATCTTCTTATTATGTGAGATATCGGTCTTGGTGGAGGAAACGAAGCATTCTTTGTAAGGGTGTGGTAACCTCTCTCTAGCATACGCGTTTTGAAACTGTGGGACTAATGGCGATACGTAATTGGTGAAAGTAGACGATATCTGTTGGCGGTGGGCTTGAGTTGTTACAAATGGTATTAGAGCTAGACACTGGGTGGATGGTGTGCTAGTTAGGATGCTGGGCCCCAAGGGGTGGATTGTGATCCCACGTCGGTTGGAGAGGGGAACGAAACATTCTTTATAAGGGTGTGGAAACCTCTCCCTAGCACATGGTGAGACTAATGACGATACGTAACACGTCAAAGTGGACAATATCTATTGACGGTGGGCTTGAGCTGTTAAAAAGGGTATGGTGTGCTAGTTAGGACGCTGGCCCCAAGGGGTGGATTGTGAGATCCCACATCAGTTGGAGAGGGAAACGAAACATATTTTATAAGGGTGGGGAAACCTCCCCTAACATACGCGTTTTAAAACCGGGAGACTGTTGACGATACGTAACGGGGTTGATAGCTACTCTTGTTCTAGGCTTGAAAATAGTTATGAAGTTAATGGAGGTTGAGTTCAGATTGTAACTCATTTATTATCCCTTCTCTGGCTGCTGTAGTATTTGTATGAAGCTGAAGAATCTGATGGAAAACAAGCAATTGGATTTCAATCAGCCGTTTCTTTCTGTGAGGCGGGTTTCGTCGATGGAAATGTCGTTGAAAGCTAACGAAACAGTGATAACGGAGAATCGCTGGCCGCCTCTTCCTGTCTACAAGTCGGAATTGAAATCAGGTCCAGTGAGTAATCCGGGGAATGTTCCTTTTCTATGGGAACATGCCCCAGGAAGGCCCAAAGATGGAAGAAAATCACTAACCATAGGTTCTAAATCGCCGTTGGCTGCTCCGAAACACCCTTCTGGGATGTCGTCGGGTTCAGAACAACAGCATTGTAACAGCAAAGAGTCAACAAGTGGAGGAGAAGCACTTCCAAATTCTGACCATTCCCCTGCTCATAAGAACATCGTTAAGTTTAAGACCTTGAGGGAGAGGATCGAGAGAGATTTAAGTTCTGATTCGGAGGACGGAGACGAGACTTATCTCGATGCAAATGGCACCATTTCTAGATCCGAGTCATTTTCCATGAACTGCAGTGTAACTGGTTTGAGTGGACTGGATGGTGGTGATGTTAAACCATCGGGATCGTTCTCGAAAGATCAGCGAACTCACGACATAATGATGGGACGATTCCTGCCTGCTGCCAAGGCAATGGCTTCAGAAACACCTCAAGTTGCTCATAGAAAGCAAAGTGTTCAAAGAGAGCACCGAAAAGAGGCAAAGAAGTTGATTAGAATGGGTAAGGAACATCGAGTAAATTCACTTCCACCGGTGTTGCCATCATATTATGTGCCTCCGAATCCACACGACGTTGAAGAAATAAGCGAAGACGATGATATTAGCCTCGACGAATCTGAGTACTCATCTACTAAATCTTGTGGTTTGTTCGCTCGATTTTGCCTTCTACACCCAGTTCCCGGAATGAGAACGCAAAGCGCCTCTGTCGCTTCAGCTCCTCGAGTTCAGAATGATTATTTGACTGATGGTTCTTGCAGCAGCATTAAGGTTCTTGGGATACTTTTCTCTTTAATTCATTGGATATTGTCATGTCAAGTCTTCTCAGTTGTGTTTTGTTTGGTCGTATATTCACAGAATCTTAGGAACGAGGAAAAACCGCTCGATGCGAACCAGATGGTTGAGAGCACGCCAAACGACTCGAGAAGGCGATACAAATCTCACCTTTCTGAAGAAAAAGTTTTCCCCAGTGACCCAGTAGGAGTTAAGAGTTCCATACATAGAAGAGCAGGAACCAAATTTCGTGAATTGTTAGCCAACGAATCGTCTTCGGTGAGCCCCTTTGTCATCGAGAAAACGTCGCTCGTAGATTCCGTTCACAATATGAAGTCTCGGAGTTCAAATTCAAGCTCTAAAGAGAATCTTCATTTGGATTCTTCCCCTCAACATGTCCAGCCATTAAATGTTGAAGGTGAAAACAAGAGGTTGAGCTCTACGAGTATCGACTCGATGGATTTGTGTTCATCTTATTACGATATGAAAGCGAACTTGAAGGCGACACGGTTGGACGTAGATCTAATCCATGATGCAAAAGTGACAGATGAAAGAACAATTGATTCTGAATGTGATCATCATAAAAAATCAAGTCAAGGAGAAAGCTCAGATGACTCTTTTCAGGATTTTGTCTCATTTACGAGTTCAGAAGCTTCGAAGCTACGTTTAGAAGGCCACGACCAGGATTCAATCACATCGACAAGCTCAAGAGCCACGGCGCGAGGCAAAATCGATCTCGAAAGCACTCGTCGATCAAAAAGATCCTTGTCCATTTCTTCACAGCTTGCACTTGCTCCACCTCTACCAAAATCTCCATCCGAGTCCTGGCTTAAGCGCACGTTGCCAACCGTTTCGTCGAGAAACTCGATGCCAAAGTCTAGGCTGGATGCTCGTGTTTACTCTACAAGGCAAACCAACACTGTATTCTGATGTCATGGCATTGGTCATGAAGAATAAAAAACATATTTTAGTCCTCGTATTCTTATGTTTTTTGTACAAGTCGAACGAGAGAAGTCTACCGGGCCAGAGGGACGGGAAAGCGTTCTCTATCCTCGTTCTCATATTTTAACCCTCACCATATTTATTTTTGTGGAGATTGGATTCATTGTAAAATAATTATTTTACCATCAAAAACATATTCACTCCCAATAATATTTTACTTTTAGAATTAAAAAATAGTTAAATTTTATAAATTTACGTATAATTTAAAAGTTTATATATATATATATATATATATATAATTAATTCATTTAACTTAAACTCGTTTAGCAAGCAATTGCGACACATTCAATATTCCGCATTTGAATTTTGAGCTTCTTTAGCAACCAATTGGGACACGTTGACTTAAAATAATTAAAAAATATTAATATAATCATAATTAATTATACAACGTGGCAGTCATTATAAAAGTCAGCGTGACAGTCACTATAAATACAAGTTGTTCTATGTTTATCCGTTGACAAAAATGGGGAGACCGATTGTTAGTACAATCGGAGATGTTTCCTTGGTCAGCTCCGGAGGCTTATTCTTGCTTTCTGCCATTCTTCTCTCCATTTCTCTCCTATCCATCGTAATATTTGCTTGCGCTGACTTCGGGAAGCTGGGAAGAGGTGGCCATGGCGGAGGCGGGAACGGAGGCGGTGGTTGTGGTGGCGGAGGCTGTGGTGGCGGTTGCGGTGGTGGGGGAGGTGGAGGTGGAGGTGAATGAGAATGATGTTTGATTTCGTGTTTATTATCATTATTATGTTTTCGAGTTGATCGGACTCTAGCCCTATGGATATGTGTAAAAAGTATGTAGTTTAGTCGTACGGGATTCAAACTTTTAACCAGCAGATGAGTAGATATTTTGTTGTTGTGAATTTTTATTAGTATATGTACATAAGTTTACTTGTTCGAGGTCGTTTTTTTTTAGTATACTATCGTCGAATTTTGTCATAAAATTTATTGTTTCTATATAATAAATCTCTATATCTTTAATGAAAATATTAAGTTGAATTAATAAAAATAATGATAAATTTTGTATTTCAAAGATATATATAATATTACTTTTTAATATTACTTTTCAATAGATTATCAACCTTTCATAAATTATTTTCCAACTTTTTATCATTACTTTTCAAAATTGATGAAAAATATTTTAAGATAGACGACAATTTTTTTAATAAAAAATATCAACAATTTATATCCGTAAACTTTAAATTTATATAATTAAAATTTTAAACTAATAATTATATCCATTTATACCCCTTTTCAAACCACATATATATATATATATATATATATATATATATATATTTTTTTTTTTGTTTACATTATTCTTTTTCTTCTTCATGCTGTCCTCTCCATGAAGAGCTCCCATGAGACAGAAAGATCTGCGTAAACTCAACCGTAACTACAACTTCCAAACAAACAAAAACGTTCGATCAATTCGAAGTGACTTCTGAAAAGATGACAACGATATGTCAAAATGATCGTATTTGAACATAATTTGTTGTAGAGCACTTAACATCTAAATGATTTGTAACAAAAACGAACTTACTTCAGTCGAGGGTAAGGTCGAACAATGGGGGGGAGGATGAAGGTGATCATGGTTGAAGGTTGTGAGGAGAAAGAATTGATGGGGAGGCCATTTGTTGTCCTCAAGGATCCGGGTTGGCCTTATGGGCGCTGTTCTTGATATTGCACTTGCTACTCCATAGATATGTGATGATTGTTAGACGAACACGATTCTCCACAATGGTACGATATTGTCCACTTTGAGCATAAAGTTTCATCGCTTTTCTTTGGGCTTTCTCAAAAGGCCTCATACCAATGGAGTTAGTATTCCTCACTTATAAACCCATGATCATTTCCTAAATTAGCCATCATCCAACAATGATATCAAGCTCCTGCCATATCAAACACACACTTCATCCATATGAACATACATACACACACACACACACACACACATATATATATATATATATATATATATATATATATATATATATATAGCGATGAGAGAGAGAGATACATTGAAGAGTGAGAAGGTGGTTTGAGGTGCCCATGGCGTTTACAAAGGCAAGATGAAGATGAGGAGTCCAACGAAGCCTTGGCATTTTGGATGTTGAATATTTTCTAACACCCACACTTCTTCTCTCCTCCTCCATGCTTTCATTGTTGCTGCTCCAATTCTCTTCTGCAAATCCCTCATCAATGGTTCCGCTTCTTCGTTCAAATCAAACCCATTTATCATCTTCTCTCTCTCTCTCTATATATATAAATTCCTTGAGAAAATCAAAGAAATGGGCTTTTTCATTATCAATCAAAGAATATATACATATAGTAAAAAAAAAAAATGAATATAGAGGGAAATTGAAGATTCTACGAACCCTAAAAGCCGTTGAGGATTGTTGGGAGAGAATCCCACGTTAGCTAGCTAGTTTAGGGAATGATTATGAATTTACGAGTAAGGAATAAATTTCCAGTGGTACGAAGGTTTTAGGGAAGCACAAAGCAAAGTCACGAGAGCTTATTCTACCGGAAGCTATAAACTTCAATTTTGCTGTAATAACTACAAAAAGAAGCAAAAAGATTGAATTTTGCAACATACCCAGAAAAAATTGTGGTGATTTCTGAAAGAAAAGGGCACAAAAGCATGCCAAGAACTTCAGAATGAAGAACATGAAGAAACCCAGCAGCAGATGGACACAGATTGAGACACCCTTTTGATGGATCTTCAAACCCACCACCAAAAATGAAAGCTTTAATCCAATTAAGTCTTTGCCTCTGAGAATCGTGGCCCTAGAGAGAGAAAGGATAGAGAGAGAAAAGAGGGTTTGCAAGAGCGTATAATAATTAGGTTAGATGAAAAGAACTCATGAAAATTCAAACCAACGAATAATAACTCAATCCAACATAACATAACGCGATTAAGACGCGCCTTAAGCTATGTCGGTGGTATGAGTTGAGCTCTAAAACGATTAAGATACAAATACTTTAGATTTCTCTAAATATTGAAGATAATATAAAAAAAAATGAAATAATGATGAATTTTCCATATCCATTATTGTGTCCGGGTAAAAAATAATCTATCATATTAAACTCTAAGATTTTAGATCGATTGAAGAGAGAAACGAATCATTTGAAGACCTCTTTTTGAGTAAACGTGTTCTGAAATCATGAGGCTGACAACTATATGTAACAATCCAAAGCGGACAATATCTAAAGGGTGTGAAAACCTCTCCTTAATAGACGTGTTTTAAAATCGTGAGGTTGATAACTATACATAATAAGCCAAAACGAAAAAAAATCAACTAACGGAGGCGTCGGACCGTTGCAAAAACATTTTCATAAGAGTTAGAAAGTGGAATTTACTTTCCAAGGCATCTTCTAAAGAATTTAAACATTTTGTCTTGGCATAACATTCCATAATAATATATTTGCTTTGGAAACATAATAATAATAATAATAATTTTTCCATTAGGTTTAGCTACACGACACCTAATTTTGTATTATATTATTTTATTCATTTATATTTTTTCAATTTTAAATTTTGAATATTAATTGCTATTTCATATATGTGAGACAAATATTCCTAGAATTAAAATAGGAGTTTTGAGAGAGAGGGAATTGAAACTCGAGAGGATGAACAAAACAAGAGTAATTTCATATCTGCTAGTAGTGGACTTAAATGGTTACAAATAGAATAAAAAATAGACAGAATACGTTGACCTCCAAAGGGGATGAACTGTGAAATCCCACGCTGGTTGAGTGGAAAGGGAAGCGAAACATTGCTTATAACGATTAGACACATTTTAAATCCGTGAAACTAATAACTATATATAACAAGTCAAAATAGACCATAGTTACTAGTATGGTTACTTTGACCGGACTACGAAAGAATAGAGTAGTTGAAGATTGGATTATTGGTTTTGAAAAAAAGGAATCTAATATCTAAGCATTGGCAAAAGAGCCGCCGCAAACAATGCAATTTTGTGAGATCTCAACACAGAAAGAGAGAGAGTCGGTGCCATGTATTTTAGAATGTTAGCGTTGGAGATCCCATGGGCATGTTCAACCGTCCTTGAGAACAAACTATAGAAACTTGTTTACTAAAAACAAAATAAATTCAACTCCTAAAGTAGATAAAAACTTCTTGGCAAACCTAAAAAGTTCACATGAAAGCCATTTACACCAGACCTTTTTCTCGAAGAGGTCACGATACACGTGATCGGTTACCGAACAGAAGGGTATGCAGAAGTCGATAAATGAAACAATCCTTCCCAGCCCAACTGATATCACAGAAATAAACTCTGGGTTTTTAGTAGAGCATTGTGATGAGCCTAGAGACTGGCTGTATCTTTAGGTTTTTGCCTGCTGAAAAGCAATGATATGCCTATGAATAAACCCACATGGCACACCCGCAGTCAACTTCCCCAACCAAAACATGACCTATTCCCACAGAATGTATTAGCAACTAAAGCGAGGTAGATAATGAAAGCTCAGTTAGGTGCAATGCAACATATGTGCAAGACAAAATGCACAGCTGATTCAGTCAATATCAATGTTTTAATGACTATGAACAACCCATATACCAGAATTTTGCTCAATCATTCATAGTTAGAAGATGCAGTTTTCCAAATGCGTGGTACAACTAAAACAGGAATATCGATCAAGTTCTAATCACAGGTCCCTTGTACTGCCCTCTCCGGATCACAAAGTTGTCGGGAGGTTGAAATTCCTCTAACCAAGTCACTTCAGAAATTGAAACTCCATCTTCATCCAATTGTAAATCACCTATAATTCCATCAAGTGTGTCAGCAATACCAAGAATTATGAGGAATGGTTTTTTCGTGCACTAGCTCAATGAATCGCAAATGGAATTACCAGGAAGATCCTTCCTTGGAGACTTCCGGAAATAAGTACAGTGTCGTCCATGTTCTGATGAATAAGGGGGCGAAAGGATGTCAAAAATAGCACAAGGTGTGATGGCTCTGAAGCTATGGATATTGCCTCCACTTGTGGGATATAGAATCGTAGTTGGAGTGGGTGCTGTCATCTCT